CTCTATACTAGTACTAAGACGAGTATCCTTATTAGCCGCCTAATAAAGATTAGACGTAAAGTCGCTAATTAGGATGCCTTTACTGCCCTTAAGGCTAATTAGGCCTATAATAACTAGTTTTCTAGACGTCCTATTACCGCCCTAACCTCCCTAGGACTCTACGTATTTAACGCTACTAGTACTATTACTCGCAATCTTACGCTAACTAATCGCTAGAGTAAGTTAGTCGCTAGCATTCTTAGCTAAGGTACCTCCTTCGATCGCTTTCGTTAGACTAGTAATACTACCTTCCCTCGAGTCTTCGGTTAGTTATAAGCTCCTCGTAAGGTATACCTTCCTCTCCTTATCGACCTAATATAGGAGGAGTTAGAAATATACTTTAAGTATATACGTAAGCTGCCTAAGTCTAAGCAAGAAGGCCGTAATGCCCTTTAAACTTATAGTATAAGTTACTAAATCGTCCGCTAGTACCCTGCCTTATAGCTCTTAAAGTCTAAGCAAGAAGGCCGTAATGCCCTTTAAACTTATAGTATAAGTTACTAAATCGTCCGCTAGTACCCTGCCTTATAGCTCTTAGCCGTTACCCTTCGACCCGATTACGCCTACGAGCTTATCTCTATTCCTAAGCCTACTAAGTTCTTTAAGGTAGGCGAAGGTAGTTACTAGAACTACCCTATTAAGGAGTCTACTTGTCTCGGATAAGATATAGTTAAGCTCGTAGCTAGCGAGGGTACTAATTGCCTACGTATTAAGGTTAGCCTTATATCTAAAGATAAGACTAGCTACTCTACTATTATCGAAGGTATATACAATCTAGAGGTCTTTACGAACTAGATTAAGAAGCTTAAGAGTTAAGGGCCGTAGCCTAGTTCTACTAAGCAAGATCGGTAAGCTTACTAATAAGTACCTTACCGTTAACGATCTCGAGTATATATTCGATAGTTAGCCTAATAACGGTAAATAGTAGGAAGCAGAGTAGATCCTTAACCCTCTAAAGGAGTACGAAGTCTCTATTTAGATACTATATCTCCTAGATAGTAATCTAAAGGCTAAGAGTAACTGTATATTAATCGACCTAAGCTACTCTCGCGTTATTAACGGCACTAAGGTTAAGGGCTACGAGAACTTAATAGTCTCTTAGGTTGCTAAGGCGTATCGTAATCTAACGGCTCTCCTAAGCGTAAACTCCTTCGTACTATTCGCTTTCCCTATAGCTATTTTAGTCGAAGGTCTTAGTTACATTTCCGATGCCCTAGTCGGTAGAATTCCTTAGTTAAGTTACGTTATTTAGAGCGAAGTTAAACAATTCCTCTAGTTTAGTAAGGAAGAGCTTAAAGAATACCTAGGCGATTAGGAGAAAGCTATATAGGAGAAGGCTACTAACCTTCTTATTAATTAAGCCTACTAAGAGAAGCAGTATTTCGATACTAATAGCTTTAATACCTACGGAGAAGATCTCGAGAACCGACTAGCGGATAAGGTTATCGCTAGTAAGGATTACGGTATATTAAAACAAGAGTAAGTCGGCATAAAAGATTAGTTACTTATATAATTGTTTTTGTATATTAATAGTATCTAGGAATAATACTACCCTAGGGGTATTATTACAGAGTTTTTAAAAATAGCCTTAGCTAAGAGCGCTAAGGTAACGGATAATATATAACTGTTTGTTTGTTTTAAGCGCTTAATATAAAACGTGTCTAGTTAGATACGAAGAAAGGGAGGGATATTAGCTAGTAACCGGCCCTATACCTATAGGCTAGGCATTAAGCCTATAAAAGAGGCCTCCTTCTATAGTATAGACAGATCATTAACCTCGTATAGCATACTGTTTATACTACACTTCTATAGTGCCTATATTATAGGGCTCTAGTTTCTAGCCTAAGCGATATATTTGTTATCCTATCTTACTAAATATAGCTGCCTATATTATTATAGGTTATATTACCCTTAGTAACCTATACTATTACTGCTAGTAGTAGTATTAGTATTAGTTTCCATCCTTTACCGGTCTTTACTAATCTATAGTATACTAACAAATAAGGTGTTAAGAATAGGCCTTATTTAAAGGGCCTCCTCGATTATTAGCAACTAGCTATTCTAGCAAGTCTTACCTAGCGGCTTCGGATAGGTTAAGGGCGGCTTTAGGCCTTCGGCTATACCTTAGCTAATTCTTTAAAGGCGTAATAGAAGTCGTTCTCTCGCTATAGGAGCTTAGCTAGCTAGTAGAGACGCTATAGTAGAGATTGCTTAGTTAAGCACTCTATATTAAGATCTAACTACCTAGGGATAGAGACCTTGTCGCTATTGCTCTTAGCTTAGTTATTAAATAGTACTTGCCGTACTTAGGGCGCTCTTTAATCGGCTAATTCTACTGCTTCTATAGACTTAGCAAACATAAAGGCTTGTATAATAAGGTTAATAATATAGCCGAAGTAGCGTAGATAACGGCTCTACTTAGTCTAGTATATATAGCCCTTCTTCTATATATAGAGCTTAATCAACTCGTAGAGGATATAATTACTAGCGGCATTGTTAGTAGTTATCTAGCTAAGATTATAAGCTATTAAGAAGGTCTTAAAGTACGAGATTACTAGCTATATAATAAAGTCGCTAGTATTAGAGCCTCGTTATAGCGGCGGCAGGTTAATAAGGGCTTAACTAAACTTGCCGTACTTATTAATATACTAATAGTTAATCGCTTAGAAGTGCCTATAGCCGTATTACGCCTTCTATATATTAGTGCTAATATAGAGGCAACTAATAGCCTTAAGAAGCGCTATTTTAACCCTCTCTTACTAGTTGTCGAAGTTGTGCTATACTCGTACTATTATTAAAGTATATAACTTTAGAAGAGCCTTGTCTAATTATAGATTAACCGCTAATCTTATCTCTTTAAAGGACTTAGAAGCAAGAGAAGAATAAGCAATACTATATACTATAGTATAGCGAGCTATTGCCTACCTAAATTTGTCTATATTAGCTTCCGCTATATTCCTTAGAATAGTAGCCGTACGCCTGACCTCGTTACCCTCGCTTACTACCTATATTTTATCGATATTAATACGGCCTTATAGCGGATCTTTTTCTAGATAGATAACAATACTATATACCTTAAAAAGGTAGTCTGCTACGTTACTAGACACTAATTTCTATGCCTTAGGACTGTCTACTAGATAGTGCTTATAGTAGAAGTATTTATAACCGTATCTATTGCGAGTAGGCTCGCTATCCTACGGATCTCGAGTATAAGACTATAATACTAGATCTATCTTATTCTTTATAAAGTATAGCTTCTTCTAGTAAGCGAGTGTCGGTAGTATAGGCCTTAGTACTAGTATTAGAGTTAGAAGGAAGGCTAAAGAAGGTATCGATTACTAGGTATCTTAAAGCTCGTCTAGAGTCGGATTTAGTACTATACTACTAGTTCGTCTACGCGATCCGTACGCTTACGTTTCCGTAGTTCCTAGCTTTCTTATTCGGATTCTTAGGTATTTAGGAAACTTTCGAGCTCTCGTTAGGTCGGTATACGATTTTCTCGTATCTTTATTATAAGGAAGAAGGTAGTTAGATTATAATTAGAAGAGATAGATTTAGAGATTTAACTTTAGAGGCTAAGTACGGCCCGCTTCGGTTAAGCTATCCGAAAGCTAAGAATATAGGTTAGCGAGTCTAATTAGGCTTAGCGTAACCCTTATAACGCAAACTCGAGGCAGATATATAAACTAGAATACTAAAGACCTTCGACTAATTATCTACCTAATTAATAATAACAACCTTACTACTACCGCTAGCGGCCTCGCTATCGATTAATTAGTTTAGTACCCTAATAATTCTACGCCTAAAGTGTGTCTACCGCTACGATTACTACGATTTTAGCCCCTAATTATACTCGAATAAGTAGAAGTATAGTTTCTTACTAAACTCGAAGTAACGACGAGAACCGAGTAGAAGAATAGGCTTTCCTTTACGCTCTATACCCTTATAAACCTTTTAAAGGCTATTAGCGATACGCTCTTAGTAGATAGCAGCCCTTTTAACGATCTCCGCCGTATAGATAAGGCTCTTTATTATCTTCCTCGTAATCCTTTAAAAGAGTAACTATAAGCCCTCCCTTTCCGCCTCTCTAATATACTACTCGAAGTCTGCCTATTCTACGTACTTGATAAACGAAATATCGTCCGAATTAGCCTAGTAATCGTTTACCTAATTAGTATTAGTAAGAGGTAGATAGACCGAGCGGATATTCTTTAGCTTCTATTAAAGCCTCTAGTCCTATAGAGTAAGGAAGGCTTATATCTTAGATAGAAAGCGGTAGATTAAAGAAGGTAGTAATAATATAATAACCTCGTATTAAGAGGCCGTTAGCGATTCGGTAACCTACTAGAATTAGTAACCTTTATATACCTTAGTTCTATCTACCTCGAAGCGGTCTATCCTCCGAGCCTATAGAAAGAGCTTAGTTTTTAGTAAGAAACAAGCGATAAACAACCTAATTTTGTACGATTAAAGAGATCTACGTACGCCGTAGTATAACTATCGAATTGCCGACTAAATCTACTAAATATTCGAATATTTAGTAACCTCGTATTTAGATTTAGATTTAATATAAAATATAAATTTAAATTGAATCCGATTTAATATTTAACAGCTATAGTCTTTCTAGAAGATATTTACAAAATTAATTAATAAGTTAGCGATAGCAGCATTGTACAGGTACGAAAGCCTCGATCGCACTTAGTAGGTAGGCACACGTAGCTGCCTATAATCATATATTGGAGGAGGTATACATCATGGATGCTTGTACAGCATCTTGGAGTCCGACCCGATGTACACATCTGCCGCACAAAATGGCCAGCGATAATGTCCAAATCTATCAATACGCTCTGCTCAACAACGATGAAACTGTTCAAAGTGCCCTCCAAATCCTTCGTCCACACCTCCCAATATGTCTTCCACTCTACAGAAGACTTCAATTCGGTCGTTTCTTTCAAGATACTATGCTTCTCACGAGTTTAGAAAGCATCCCGAGCCCTCCGTTAAAAGACGAGGATTGGATCATGGCATTCGTGGATCGAACATGTCGACCGGAGACTGAAGTCTGGATTTTTGGATCCTGGGAATCTGTGACAACAGCGCTATCATCACATCGAGCTGGAAATTGTGATTCCCTGGTCATGACACTGGTGAAAGCTATCAAGCATCTGGGTCCTTTGCCGAAGAGCATCCACCAATCTCTACTCGACGCTACTGACGCAGAAACGAACCAGAAGGATGTGTCAGGAGTTTCGAGGAAGGATTATTCGGCTCACATTTTAGATCCGAACATCATTCTGTGTGGAGCCGTTCACGAGTCTACGACTAAGATTTTGGAAAAACTGGGATTGATCAAAACTGTTTTCGATGCGGGTCTAGTTCCAAACCACACCTATGTGTTTGACGTAACTGAACTACCTGAGCCAAGAGATCTGCCGAATGGACTGCGGTGGGGAGAACTCAAGTATGAAAATTTTGCGACTGTGAGAGCGAGGACCCAAATCCCCAGACAGGATAAGACGTTGGCTGACTTGCCAAATTTGGCGATCTATGATGTCGAGAAAGGGGTGCCAATTGCTTGGGTCTTTGTAGGTATCGATGCGAGCTTGACCACTTTGCATGTGGAGGAAGAATGGAGGGGAAAGGGGCTGGCAAAGATGATCGCTTTGAAGTTGTGGAGGGAGAAGATGAATAAATTCTGGGAGCACGGAGTTCCAAACTTGACCCACGACTATGTGATCAGAGGAAATGCAGCGAGCGTAGCAACTTCGGAGAGTCTGGGAGGGAAGCACATCGGTGATACGTTCTGGGTGAGGCTAGACATGAGCTTGGCAGGATAAAGTGATGGACTTGGTCTTAAAAGTCGGTTGAAATGCGCTGAGCTGGTGTCTGTATCAACTGTCAGCAAATGGCATCCCCAGATGATTCTGAAGGGACAGGAAGGTGTTCTAGGGTCATATCGAATTTTCAGCATCTACATCTATGCTCTGGCTGAGTGCCTCAGCGTCTAGCGTCTATGATCACCTTCTCGCATGTGCATGTTCTGCTCGTACAAATTGGCCGCGGATGCTCCAGGCATCTATCCTAAGATGATGTGACAGTGATTGGGAAGTCACCCTTCAGCAGCTACAATATGCCGAATGCCTCCTCTGGTGTGAACTGCTGATCTTCTTCCATACGCGCATTGATCGCATCAAGAGTGTTCTCAAGCTTTTGAGGAAAGAAGTTGATACTCTGAAGCTCTGTCAGGTGGCTCTGGAAGATCTCAGCACGAGAGCTCCGATTGTCAGACGTGCTGGTCAAACTGTTGGCAGGACCCTTTGGCGTAGAATTCTCCTCGTCACCTGCAAGTTTCTGCATGTATTCCTCCAATTCAGCGACAACGGCCTTGATACGAGCCATGATCTGCTGTTTGGTATCCTCCTCGGCGTTTTGATCGTCATCTGCGAACTGTAGCTGTAGGTCTGACAACTCCTTCAGCCGCTCCTGGACGTACGAATGTCCATCACAAGTAAGAGACTGTGCAGCCTGACGCAGTCGAGAATATTCGTCTGTCCTTGAGGCTGACGACATCTGGCTCTGCTTGCGACCGAGTTTTCATTGCATCCACCTCGCGAAGATGCTCTGCGTAAAGGGCATCTTCTTCATCGAGCTCACCCTCATCACCATCGAACTCTTCATCAGAGTCATCTTGGACGTCAGCATCGGAAGTCTGAGCGCGCATAGCAGCACGATAACTGTTCTGGTCCTTCATCGTTGGGAACTGAACCTCGCTGTAAGCGCTCAATGTCATCCGACAAGCCATCGTACCATTCGCAAGGGTCCTTGATGTCCAACACATAGCTTGTCAGCTTCTCTAAGAGGTCTGGATGATCGGATCGGAGCTTATTGGCAGCCCAGGACTCTACAGCAATGGTACGACGTCCGATATCGTAATCCGTAGCCATGTTACGAGGGAGCAGCTTTGTACAACCAGTCTGCATGCGATCTCCAGCGGTAATACTAACCGGCCCTCCGTCTTCTGCTCGTCTACGTTGCACAAGGTCACGGAGAAATGAGAATCTGGTTGCATGTCCAAGGAATGGTGTCATTACGCAGCCGAAAAGGTGGCACTTTCCACCTGTCTCGAACCACTGAGCGACGGCTTCCAGGAACAGCGTAGCGGGTGATTCTTCGGTCGTATGGTTCTTGTCGCATACTTTGTCCATGGTGCGAAGGCGAGCTGAGAATATCGAAAAGATAGTCTCTTCGGCGTAGTCGCTTTGATTAGGACACATATCAGTGCGCCACAGCCATGGTATACGATTCTTGCCGCAACATGGCAGCTTCAGGCCTCCTGGGTTGAAGCCTCCGGGTCGCACGTCGCGCTCCATCTGCTCGATATCGATCAGAATAACCCGCCAGTCCCAGTGCTCGTCGGTCATCGAGAAATCCGGATGGAGTACATAACGCTGTTTCAAAGTCGGCAACTTCCACAGCTGAGATATGATATCTGCGCTCGACGAAGTGTCTGGCCATCCCATATGCCCGACTTTTCCATCGACATGAATTCCTGAAGCTGTGCGACATCTTGTCCCTGTTCAAGACGTTTACGCGAAGCAAATCCTGAAACTACGCGCTAGGTATCGAATGCCTGTAATGCTGTGTCAGAAGCTGCTCCAATGTGTAATCTCGTCAATACTTACTCGCTCAAGCAGTTTCCACGCCGGCGCCAAGTCTGGGTGGTATCCTGCACAGACTGTCCGCTCTGCTGCGCTCAGGCGCAGCTGAAGAGCCTTCTTCCAAAGCGGTAGAACAGATGCGGCTTAGTCACCTCACCTTTCAAGACATTGATACAGAATTTGGTCAAAGTCGTATTGTAGTCCGGAATATGCAGCCCGAAGGTACCATCTTGGCACAGCCATCTCCGATAAGGCTTCTCAATGCTGAGCGAAGCTGGGGGCACGAAACCTCGATTGCGATATGCAGGAGGCCACATCGCATCTCTGATAGACACAGTCTCATCTGAATAGCCATCGCGCCAGATAGTGTCATCGTCGGTATGGTGCTTAGCATGAAGAGAGCTCACAAGTTGCGACTCTGATGCAGTCGGCCATGTCGAATTTTTGCGTCGTTCGACATCGCATAGGCCATCTGAAGAGGTACATTGCGTCGACACTCATCCAATGTTCGACTTCTCAGACAAGTGCATAATCTCGAGGCAACTGCACTATACGACCTCGCAGGCTTACCACATTGGAGTGTGCTATGTCGAAGCGATTGCACAATCGACTTCATTTGCAGACTTTGGGGAGTGCGCCACGTCGATCGAGCTCCGGAGATGGGATCTCGCTCCAGTTCCGGTAAGTATTTCAACGCCTTCTACAAGATGTCTCGGGAAGCCGCTTCAGGCGAGATTCCCGGCATGTGATACCATGGAGAAGGGCGTAGAGGGTTTGTAGACGTTCAGAGAATCGACGATAGTATTCTTCCCACAACAGGACGGGTCTTGTGGGAAGTGTTTCTGGTCAGGTAGCATAGGTCGAGCACGAGGTGGCCTTCGACTTGAAGCTCATGTCGGAAGCGCGCGACCACGCGCATCATGTCCCATTCGGATGAAGTTCCTGCTCAGCTATATCCCGACATGTTCCTTGTTTACAAGCTGAACGACCTCGTCAGCAAAGACGCTGTGACCGAAGAACCTAAAGTTTAAGAGAGCAATGATGGGTATGCAGTGCTTCTTCATGACCAGCGGTATCATGCACGAGTCCGAAACATATACACGTCTCCGTGATAGCTGTGTCGAACCTCCCAAGTAGCTCGACAAATCTCAGGATCTAGCGCACAATCGTTAGGCTCGCGGAGTATCGTAGTATCTTGAGCATACTCAGCGACACAACGGCTAGAAGGGATCTGAAGTCGAAGGGACAAGGTGTCCGACCTATAATATGTGCTTATAGGCGGCTCCGCGTGCCTACAAAGTGCGAGCGAAGCTTCCGCCTCACATACCCTTGCAGGTCGCTAGTCGTTGTAGGTCGCTGGTCGTTGCAGGTCGCTGATCGTGGTCGTTGCAGGTCGCCGGTCGTAGTCTTTGCAGGTCGCCGGTCGTGGTCGTTGCAGGTATGGTTAGCAACAGGCACGTGATTTTCTCGGAGGTTGAGTTCTGCCGTGCCGTCCCAGCAGTTCTTGTAGAAGTCAGCCAATCAGAGCTTCAGCTTTCTGAAATCCGGGGAACCACGTGCGTAGTCAAACAGGGAATTGTGCCACTGCGAGACTGCTATAGTAGTGCGAGCTTGGCTCGCAATCAACCTTGGCAGGTCCGAAAAGGCCATCGCAGACGGGAAAGATTGCAATGCACCACAATATGCAGTTTCCGGTCCGTTGGTCAGGACGAACGAAGCCAGGAAAGCTTGTGACGTCAACAAATTTGCAGTCGCTACTCAATTAGCGGAGCGATCACAGATGGGAAAGCTTACGAAGTGCACAAAATCGCAGCCGCCGGGCAATCAGCAACGAGGTCGAAGATAGGGTAGCCTGCATAGGCTCGAAATTTGGAGATCAGGGATGGTCCATCTTTGCGAGCGTGACCGGGCAAGCTTGCAATTCCAGAAATCTGTGCATTCGAGGTCGTCCTTGATCAAAGCCATGATTGAGACAGCATGAAAAATCTAGGAATCTGTATACTGAGTTCCACCCGCTTTCGATGTTGTGGTAAGGAGTGTCGGTTACTTGTTTGCTCTGACATGTTATTGCATCGTCCTGCGCGACAGCGAAACCAATACTTAGGGAATTGTGAATGCAGTATTCTCAAAGACGAAGGCAATTGGATGATACCTGTTGTTGGATGTCATGTAGTACTGTATGGCTTCGAAAAATGACAAGGCCAGCAACGGATACAAGGTTCAAGCAGCGGAGATGGATATCGAGGCATGGGCGGTTCAAGTCCGCCTGAGTCAGCTGCAACATTATCTGTATCAGCTGTTAGCAGTTGCTACGTCTGTACAAGTGCAAATACAATGCAGGTGTATATGGTTGTTGGGTCTGAAAAAAATTAGAGAAATATGTTGCATGTTGGTCCTCATGGAGAAACTCAGGGTTAAAAATGTGTCATCATGCCCAAGGGGTGGGGAGAGGGAAAGAGATTTAACGTACCATAACTTCGCCCGCGCCAAGCCGCCATGACAGGCCTGCTCGTCAGCAACTGTAATTGATGCGCTCAGAGATCGTTTGAAGATGCAGGGTTGTGTCTCATCGCGCAGCACTTCATTCCTCGTCAACAGTCTATGAACCATCGCCGTCACACTTCGAAGCGGTGTCCTTTTATCTCGCGGCAGCGCTTAGTCGAAAAGACCGAAGCCCATGTCACCCTCAGACTCCTCCTCTTCCTCAGCAGGCTTAGCTTCCTCAGCAGGAGCAGCGTCACCGCCGGCAGCTGGAGCGGCAGCAGCAGCGGGAGCAGCACCGGCATACTTCTCTGGGTTGGCGATGCGGTCCTTGAGCTCAGTAATGGCCTCGAACTCGTACTCAGTCATGAGAGCGACAGAGATGACGTTCTTGTAGCCATTGACCAAGCTATGCATGACGGATGGCAGGGTTGGGTAGTTGGCAGCGAGGGAGATCGAGGTGATGGTAGCGATGGCAGTGCTGAAAGCTTTGAGGAGCTGGCTCTCCTCAATGTCGAGAACGCTCGAGTCGAAGGTCTGACCCTGGTCGTAGATCTGGGCAATACCCATACCGTACGTGAAGGGAGAGATGTTCAACATGTTGAGCAAAGTGGCCTCAGATGGACCGACCTTGTTACCAGCCTCAACAAGCTTGAGATCAGTGGTAATTTCGATGGTACCACGGGCAATCTTGGTTGGGACACCGAGAGCCTGGAAGAAAGAGGTCTTGCCGGGTTCCATACCAGTGTTTCCAGCTGGGACGTACACGTCGGCGGGAGCGACGGCACCAGCACGAGCTGGGGCAGCGACACGGTTGGAGAGAATCTTCTCACGTGTAGCCTTCAGGTCGGCATTGGTGAAGACGAAGCCGACGTTGCCCCTGACGTGTGGGAGCAGGCGTTCGTACTCTGGGAAGTCGGCCTGGAAGGTCTTGAGCGCGCGGCGGACCTGCAACGTCGCGTGTCAGTTTCGAATATACCCGCCGCGAACATGTTCCTCCTCTCTCACCATAGTGTTCTTGCCCATCAAGACGACACCCTCGCCGCGCATGCTCTGACGGATCTCGTGCATCTGCTGCGACGAGACATTGTCGACGGTGACGATGAAGATGGACTTGTACTCCTCGAGCAAGCCCTTGAGCTTGTCGAAGTAGCCTGCCTTATTTGCGCTCTTGCCACCCATACTGACGGTTCTGCAGTATAGGACTTTAAGGACTTGAAGTGGTGGAAATGTTGTTGTGGTGGAAACGAAGTGATCGTCGGCCTGCAATTCGTGGTCGGAGGTGGCTCGCGGCGTGATAAATCCTCGCAAAGGAGTGCGAGCGGGTACTCCCGCCTTGGCTGCCAAGGAAAGCAGAGCCTCAGGTTGTTCTTCAATACCAATGCCAAACGCGACCCTACCTCCTTTTTAGGCTTTTTAGGCGCTTCGTGACTTCCTTCTATAACTACGCTATCGGATAACGGCAAGCTGAGCCCTAGCAGACTATTGTCTAGCGAAACGCCTAAACTAAAAAGGTTACTTTCGGATAGCTATATATAAACAAATCGTTACTACTACTACTACTACTACTACTACTACTACTACTACTACTACTACTACTACTACTACTACTACTACTACTACTACTACTATAGCAAGTTCCTATCCTATCTTCCGCTATTTCCTTCGTAAAATTAACTTATTCTAAATAGCTCGTCGAATCTACTATATTAGTTACTATAACTCTAGCGAGAACTGCGCTAGCTAATCTATAAGGTATCTGCCTTATTTATCGTAGGGCTCGCTAACTTTCTTTAAGCCCGCCGGCTCGAGAGCTTATACTAATTACGCTTATAAGAGAATTACTTACGTCCTACTATAAGTTTCTCCGATTTCTATACTAGAACCCTCGCTAACTATTTAGCCCTTAAATAGCCTACGTAGCCTACGCTAGCTATACCCGCGCGACTCGTAGCAATGTTGCCGCTAAGTACGCCGACATTCTTAAGGTTCTTAAGGTATAGAAGGCCTTAAAGTCTCTCTAGAACGTACTTGTCTAATTCGTACCTCTATCGCTAGTAATAGCTCGGGGTAGTCCGTAATGCCTAACCTAGTATTTTAGGAATAAAACCGCGTATTCCTCCGCTTTTATAAAGAGAGTACCGATAAGGGCAATCTATTTACTAAGGCGGTCCTTAATTAACTAAAGGTAGTAGTTTCTATCGGACTCTAGGAGGTTAGTTATAAAGTCTAATAAGATTTCCTAGAAGAAATAGTTAGGTACCGGTAGTAGTTTTACGAGGCTATATTTGTATTGTCTCTATATTTTATTACGTCTATAATAGTTCTAGTTTCGTAGGAATTGTCGTACCTATTTTAACTATAGCGGCTAGTAGAAGTCGCGACCTAGTATAGAAGCGGTAGAAATTAGAATCCCGGCGTAGGTAGCCGTAAAGCGGTAAGTCGTAAATCGACTAGATAATCTTCGTACTTAGCCTCCGTCGTAGCTAGGGCTCCTAGAACCTAGAGCTTACCGCGGTAGCGTAGGAATTCCTTAGAGTCTATTATATAGTTACTAATCTAAATCTTTGCCTTAATTTCCGGCTATAATATCCTAGATCCCTTATCGACTTTCCGTAATACCGTCTAGTATATCGTATCCTTCTCGATAATACTACCTCTCTATATATCGTTTATTTCTAGGTCCTAGAATAGTTTAGCGCCTTCCGCCGGGGGTTACGCGGGCTCTATCTCGTTCGCGAGTAGGGATAACGGGCTCGCCTTAGGTACGCGTAGGAAGTTTCGAATTATAGCGCTAGAAATTTATACGTTTTCTAGCTAGTTTAGAGAGAGATCTAGTTCTAGGAATCTTTAGAACCTCGAAAGCTTATCGTCTTAGTCTAACGTATCCTATTCCCTCCTTAATAAGGTATTCGGTAGAATAGCCTCGACTCCCGGCTAGTAGACTAGGATAAACTAGTACTTAGCTAGTTCTTCTTACTACTAGATCTGTCTCTTAGATAGTTAACGCTTTACTATAAAGTATTCTAGGTTCTTATAGTCTGTCTAAATCGTAAAGGGACTATACGACTTTAGCTCGGAATCCTAAAACTTAATACTAGATACGACTATAAGTATCTCCTTATCGTAGATATCGTAGTTAATCTCTACCTTATTTAGTTTCTTTAAAAAGAAGCCTACTAGTCGTCGGATTCTAGCCTTTTCTTAGATAAGGGCGCCTCTAATCGCGAACCTGCTATAATTTGTTTCGAGGAAGGTAGGAAGGTACGGGCCCTACTAGGCAAGTACTAGAGTACGGTAGAATTTGTCCTTTAGCGTCTTAAACGCCTTATCCTACTCTTCTCCCTAGGAGAACGGGGTTCCTTTACTAGTAAGCGCGGTTAATAGTACGGAGATCTTAGAGTAGTTCGGTACAAATATACGGTAATAGGTCGTAAATCCTAAGAATTAACGAACTTCCTTTTAGGTCTTAGGTACTACCTACTTTTATACGGCTTCTACCTTTTCGAGATTAGCTAATACTCCTCCTCTATCGGCGTAGACGATAAACCCTAGATTAGACCCCGTAGTAGTTTAGGTTAGTTTAGTTTAGTTTGCTAAGCCGAAGATCTAGTTTAGTTTAGGTTGGTTTACTAAGCAACTATAGGAGTAGCTAGTCTAAACTATAGAATTTATTAGTTTCTAAGAAGTATAAGAATATATATATAACTCGAAGCAAGCCCTTTATAAGATACGAGAGTATAGCCGGAAGCGTAGCCGGCATTTTTTAGTTATAGGAAGGTACTTATATAACCCTAAATCTATAGACAATTAGCTAAGGGCACTAACTAATTAAAAGTATATACATATACAAGCTATTATAGTTTAGTTTAGAAACTGTACTTATTAGATATAAATTTTATCCTTTCGCTCGCTATTTAATTCCCTAACTACTCGGTAGAATATTATTATCTAGATCTAGGTAGAACTTATCGATTTCCCTAGAAGCCCTCCTTAAGAAGTTCTAATACTTTCCTACTAAACTATTCTCTAATATTAAGTACTAGGATAGCTCCTTCCTCGGTATCGGTATAGTATATAAAAGAGCTAGAAAGCAGCTCTAGATAACGTTCTACTAGTTACTCGCTATACTAAGGCCGAATACTAGTTCGTTCCTTAGAACTCTTAGTTATTTAGGAGATATAAAGGGTAGGGTAGATAGTAACTTCGTATTATATAAAGAGGTAGAGGCTACTATAGAGGGGTCCTTTAACCTATAGAAGATAGTAAAAGATATAGAGGCAGCTATAGGTCTAGGTACCTAGTTGAATTTCTAGTAGGTAGAGTATAAGGATATTTAGAGGGAGTATTAGGTAGAGTTGCGAAGGTAGGTATATAATATAGTCTAGAAAATAGGGATAATGCCTATAACTATAAGTATTAGGCTCTTTAACCTTCCTCCTTTTTCCCTATTTTCTTTTTATAAAAATCTAAACTAATATAAATTAACTAGAATGTCTATCTTCTTTTAGTTCTTTAAAAGACCTAGTAGTATAGGTAGCAGCGTAGCCGGTAGCGTAGCCGGTAGCGTAGCCGGCCTTTTTACTCCTTAGTACTAACGGGATTTTTAAAGACTTCTATTCCGTACGGCTAATAAAGCATACTATACTATATATATATATATATATACTTAGAGAGTATTTAGAGCGCGGTATATAGCGCCGTATAATAGCGGCTTATTTTGTATATAGAAAAGCTTATAGATAATACTACGAATATCCTTCCTACTAGAATATCTATCCTGTTTAGCACTATCTCGAATATAGACATTCTAGCCTTTTAGAATCTAATCGAGGGCTTTAAAATCCTTATCTATAATCGTAATACGCTTCGCGTAGATAGCTATGAGGTTAACCGCTAAAATAGTATTAATATAGTTCGAAAAGAGGTAGAAGAGAAACATTTACTCGAAGATACGAACTAGGTAGGCTTCTAAAGCCTCTTAAAGGGCATTTAGTACGGATGCTTAGAAGCGAAGGTCTAGTATATAATACTAGGCAATTTCGCGAACAAGTCGTTAGAAAGGAGCTTTACGGAGTAGGAGATTATAGTCCTTCTAATACTTCCGAATCTTACTAAGGGCTACGGCTAAAGAAGGATTAGTAAAAAGATAGTAAGAATACCGGCTACGCTACCGGCTACGCTACCGGCTATAAATAGGACTTACTTCCTAGGCGCTATCGACGCTTTATACGATTATTACTACTAGTAGTAGAAGCGCTAGTCGTCGTCTTATATAGAGCCTTACCTACCGTCGTCTTGCGTAGAGCCTTACTCGCGACGCCCTTTCTAGTACTAGAGCTAGCGGTAGTAGTAGCAGCCTTTTTACGATAATATACTATACTCGTTCTACTACTTCCGGTCTTATTACGACCCGTAGAAGTAGTAGGTCCCTTCTTACGAGGCGTCGTAACTTAGTTAAGTAGACTTAGTATTACAAAAGTCGTCGAATTAATAAAAAAAGTGCGTTACGAAGGTATACGAAGGCGCGCGCGGAGTAAGGGTATTACGGAGATAGTAGATATAGAGCGTAGAGGTATAGGTATAGGTATAGATACGAAGGTTAAATATAGCGAGAGAGGTAGTATCGCGGTATCGCTAGGTAATAGAGTAAGCATCGCGCAACCTATATTATAGTAACGTTAGAGTAAGGAAAGAAGGCAGGCACGGCTAAAAAAGGCAGGTACGGCAAACTTTAAAATATAGCCGGTATATATAGCCGGCATAGTAATAGGCGAAAGCCTCCTTTTAATAAATAGTCGGCGTAATAATAGTATCCTACTATAGTATAGATATTCTTTAGTAATTCCCTTACTAGCTATAGTAATATTATAATTAACCTAGGCCTATTACTAGGAAATATAAGAAATATTAGGTAGGCTATACTAAATAAGCTAGTTATTTAGTAGGAAAAGGCCTACTACCGTCTCTATATACCGGCTACGAGTGCCGGCTATCGCTCTAAATTTAACTCCGCCCTATCTTAGAGGCTAAGATACCGAGCGGAAACCCTATAGCTTATATTTACTCGGTTATCGCGGAGCGCTTATAGGTAAGGTATTAGAAAAGAGTATTAAAAGTACGAGAAGAGTATCCTAGGATATAGGTCGTAAGTAAATAAGAGTAGCACGCCTAGTTATTTATATAGTACGTTACTCTATACGACTAAGAGCCTATATTATCTCGTACTTCGCTTATGAGACCCCGACTCTGCTAA